ATGTGTGACTGGATTTATGTAAGAATCTCAAGATCAACTTTTGGGCGATTAACTTACCACACGTCAGCACTAATAACCAAGGTCAGGTATCGTATAGGGGGAAAATGATTATATAGAAATTATATTTTCCTTATCAACTTGGAGTAATTTTTTCCTTCATTAAATGACAATCACAGTTTATACTCTTTAGAGCAGACCTAAAATGAAGAAGCAGGGTCTTGTTTATATATCCTTTTCCACTATGACTCAGGGTTAACTTATCTATTAGTCATAGTAGAAAATCACAAAATTTGTCAGAAAAGGAGAACAGTTTCCACCAACTGTTAAAGACCAAGGACAAACATTTGCTTTTCTTTTAAGTTCCTCATTTTCTTATCATTAAAATATGAGAAAAATACTTATGGTAAAATATGTCACAAGATTCCTGTAAGAATCAAATGAAATAATAGTTTTTAAAAATGTTCTTGGCAAAGTTGAAAGACTGAATTAATTAGAATTATCATAATTTTTCTCAGAATTTTTATTAAACATCTTTTTAAAAGCGTGGTTACAACACATCTCTACAAAACTTATGGAAGTGACTGGAAATTTCAGGGAAATATGAAAGGGTGGATTTGTGTGATATTTAAGAAACTTCTAGATAAAGCTTGAACGATCTAGCAATTTTCAGTTCCACTTTAATTTTGAATGTTTTTATTACATTGTGCGCTTTAGAGAACTTGGATGTCAAAATTCATCATAAGTTTGACCTAATACATTTTCAGCAAATATTCTGGAAGTAGCCACATATTTAGGATAGATATACTTCTCTATTTTAAAAAATACTATATTTGTCTGAGAGAGCAAATGAACGGAAAAGGAGAGAATTATTTTTGAAGTTGACCAAATTGTGCTGATCCATTTAACTCCATTTAAAAGTTCTAGACTGAGATTAATTTTTAGCTAAAGCTTACTTTTGAATTTCATTTTCTGCTGATGTATATCAAACAATATCTTCTGCCTAAATTATTACAACCTGATGCCTGATACCTGATACTGTGGTGCCTCGGTTTGTGAACTTAATTTGTCCCACAATCTCGGCGGGGAGGGGAGCTGCCTATGGTATGGTCGTGTTGGTCGCCTGATGCAGAGTTTGTGAACAGAAGCAAAATTGTGCAGAATGTGCAAATGTGTCTGTTTGGAAGTAGAACTGTTCACAAACAAAAGTGTTTGTGAACTGAGGTATTACTGTATTCTCTCAGTTTTAGAACACATTTTTAAGAATGCAAAAATTACTTTTTCAAGCTGTGTATTCTACCCATACTATGTTCCTATCCTGTGAGAACTATATATATTTTTTCTCTTTGTGTGAGGAAATTTGTGTTTATTAATATTTTAAAGTGCAATGCTCATGGTGGTGCATGCCTATAGGCCCAGCTGAGAGACTGAGGCAGAAGGATTGCAGATCCAAGTTCAAGCTAGGCAACTTTTTGCTTTAGCAATACTCTGTGTTGGAACAAAAAAGCAAAATCAAAAGGGCTATGGATGTAGGTCATTGTGAAGGCCTGGGTATCAATAACAAATGCAGAGAGAGAGGAAAAGACAGACAGTGCGCATGTGTGTGTACAAAGGTTCATTGTTACAGAGTTTCAAGTCTGACTTTGCTGTGTGGCTTTGGTCAATTTACATATCTTCTCTGAACCTTATCTTTATGTAATAAAAGGATTTTTAAAATATAGTGAAGCCTACTTAAGAAGTTTTATCTGAGGAACTCTTAGATAGCAGGGCCCGCTGAAGTCCATTTAAAACAGCTGGCCCTTAGCAAGCGTCTCACACAATGCCTACTATCGCTCCCATGCTACTGTCCCTCATTCTCTGCATCCTGGTCTCTATTTGCTGTGGAACACAAGCACGTAAGTCCACATCAAACCAACTTGGCACTACATAGGTTGAAAGTTTAATAAAGAGAAATCATAGAAAAGGTTTTAGACTGAAAGTATCTTCTACAAGAATGAAAACATGGGTCATTCACAAGTATCCATCCATGCAATCTTATGCAACGTTTCAAACAGAAGTGGTCACCAGCACAAGTTCATGTCCTGTGCACCCATTTTAATTTAGGAAAATAACTGCAGGTAGATAGGAGTCAGGAAAATACACCCTGGGATTATGATTTAAAAAGAGGTCCCTGTATAATAAAAGCTCCTCAGAATGTGGTTTAGACCAATTTGAGAAACGGAAATGTTTAGTTACAGGACCCATTACATAGCAGAAACAAAAAAATCACTATTAAGGCCAGTATTATAAAGTTTAGTCCCTATGTTTTCTGCAAGGAGTTTTATATTTTATGTTTTATTTTAGCTCTGTAATCTATTTGAGTTGTCTTTTGTTCATAAGATGAGTCTAATTTCACTCATGTGCACATAAAAATTTCTAGTTTTCTCATTGCCACAAGTATAAGAAACAATCCTTTCTCATTGTATAGTTCTGGTACCTTTGTCAAAGATTAATTTGAGATTCATACATAGACTTTTTGCATATGTTACCAAAAACAAATGTTCGATATCAAGCTTAAAATTTTCTGCATGACAATCAATCTCAGAGCAAAATGGTTAATTATAAAATAGGATAGAATATTTGCTAATTACATAACAGATGAGGGGTTTATATCAAAAAATATATACAGACCTTAATAGCCCAATTTAAAAATGGTCAAGAAGCATATGTAAAGGTGTCTACTATCACAAATCATCAAAATAGTACACATCAGGGCTGGGGATTTAGCTCAGTGATTCCACTGCCTGCCTTGCAAGAGCAAGGACCTGAGTTCGATCCTTGTTACCATAAATAAATAAATAAACACATCAAAACACAATGAAACCTTACCTTACATTTGTTAGGATGACTATGATTAAAAACTCAAAAGCTAAGAAGTGTTGGCAAGGGTGTGGAGGAATTTGGGACCCTTTCGCACTGTTAACAGAAATGTGAAATGAGCAACTATTATGTACAACATATGGAACTTTCTCCCAAAATTACAAATAACGCTAGTATATCATCCAGCAAATACACACACAGACACACACAGACACACACACACACACACACACACACACACACACACACACACACCAGCAGAAGCAAGAAACCCCATGCGATTTTCATTTACAAATGCTGTGTGACATGGTCTAGACGCCCTCAGAAGGAATGAGCAGCTCAGTTTCCTGCTTGCTATTTATGATCAGGGTGCACCCGTTTGGATTTAAGCGGTTTCTCTTCTGCTGGCGCACACACGCCAGTCTATAATTGGATAATGTGCTTCCTGCTTCGCAGCAGCTAAGTCGCTGTCCGCTCCAGAAGTGCACTGATCATTGCTTCACCTTCAGCTCCCGCCCTCCCCAGCTGAGAGAGTCCCGGACCTGGGCACCCGTGGCAGGGCGGCCCCTCCTCCCCGGCTTCTGCAGGCGACATCTGCGTCTGTCGGAACATGAGCATCTGTGCCATTTCCAGCTGCTCAGTTTCACTGAATTTTATTCTGCCCAAGAAGTTCCACTGAGGAGCTTGCATTTCAATCAGCCACTATTTTAAAAAGTTTGCTAGGGGTCTGTAAGACAGATTTCTCTATTGTGTCTGTTTTGTGCATTCCCTTATTTAAACTAGTTCTGTAAGGTACATGTACATACCTCAGGGGTAATATAGATTCTCCCTGACACACACACACTCCATTCCCAACACCCACGGGATGCCACATGTCCCGTGTGAGACCTGCTTGGAGAAAGTGAAGGGCTCCACACACCACACAGTGTCACTGGGAGAGGACAGTCGCCACTGGCAATGAGGATTTTCTCACCCTCAAGACATGCAAATGAGTTTTTTCATCTGTTTATTGTGTTATTTACATAATTTTCTCCTGCCAAAAGTGAGAGCTGTCCAACGTTGATCCTTTGGGGCTTCTGTCACTTGGTTCTAGGACCTCTACTCAGGGGATCCGGTCACTTCAAGAGTCCCCCTCTGGGGAACCCTGCATGTGAAAGATTCAGCAGCTGAGAAGCAGCTGAGACCCCTTTCACTGAGAAGGGGCCACTGTCAGAGGGAAAGGGTGGGGTTGGGGGCCCCAGGCAGGTAAAGGCACTGCTCACGTTTGAAAAGTTGTTCAACATCCTTAGAACCTTTCATAAGCTTGCTTGTTTTTGATTTAGTGAATCGGTCTTTCCAGAGGTAATAGATGACTCAGACTTGCAAATATTTCACTGTCCTGTGTTGCTGAGGTTAATCTCACAATGTAAGCACTTTTGCACTCGTGTGACTAAGTGAAAATGCTATTTGAAGAACCTCAAAAGCAGTGTTCTGTTGTACATGCTTTGATTTGAGTGCTCCTGTCTGTATAAAATAGCCAAATACACCTATTCGGCATATTCAGTACGATTACCTCCTTTTTATAAATTCAGAGAGGTACACTGGGAGGGGCTGTAATAAATCTTTAAATTCATTTTACTTAGACGAGGTTGCTCTGTGCAGAAAGCTAGAGGCGAATAGGAGTGCCGTTATCTCTTTTATCACAGTGCTTAAGCAGTTGTCAGCTTTAGACTTGTCTTACAAATCAGTTCTCTATCGGGCTAGTGATCCATCCACTGCTCCTTGTATCCAACACAAACGCATCTTGAAAAATGGCACGGGAAAGCACATTTGTTTAAGTGCTGAGATGGCTAATACGGTGGCTCATCTTGCAAATTATACTCATAGTTGTTGTTCCCCCTTTAGGCTGGAAAAGACTGGATTCCCAAGTGGCCTTGGTTCCCGCCAAGCCAGTGCAAGGGTGGCTCCGTGTAGGGCGCACTCCTGGCTAATCAGGTCAATGAACAGAGCGGGCTGGGGAGACAGGGGTCCATCACAGCAGCTAGCGAGCCTCGGGACAGCCAGCTCCAGCTCGCGGAGAATCTCTGGCTGAGAAGCATCGCTTCGTCCTCATTCACTCACTGGGAATCTCTGAGGATTTCAGCTGGTCTGTTCTCTCCCCTTAGACAGTGAGGAGCTCAACATAAACAGAGAAAAGGAGCCCAGCATGCCGCCGCTCGGAGGGTGTTGATTGAAAACTTCGATCTTGCCCCACACCATTCACGGTTGATTTGACGTATTTCTCACCTCGTTCACAGAACGTATTTCAGTTAAGGTAAGTGCTGCTTTATCTGGGTGACTGCATCGGGCTGAATTTCTGCATTGAAAGTTCTAACTGACTAAACTGGCATTCTGCACTGCAGCAAGTGACTGTTTATGTCAGAAAGAGGCTTAGTTTATCAGCAAGTGTCCTAGAATGAGAACTGGAATTTGTGGATAATCACATTTCAGAGTAATTATTTAGAAACAGAATAATTCCTCCTTATATCAGAAGAACAGCCAAGGAAATGTGAAGAGAAAGCTAATTTCTCATTTCACTTTTGTAATAAACTGTTTCGAGGACTGTGCATTGCTATAGTTTTTTCACAAAGTGATTTGATGATATTTCATAATAAAATCTGAGTCTGAAAACTTCAAAGATAAATTGGATGATAAAATTTGCAAATGAGAGGTGCGACTTCCTGCAGCTTTTTACTTTAGCAATGTTCCTGAGCTCTCTTTGGATCTAAGGAATTTGATCAAATCCATGGTATTCTAGCACTTTTCATTTTGGAACTAAAAATTTAAATAGTATGGCTTCTGATGCTATTTATATAATTGATAGTTTTTATACAAGAGAGTGGAGTGCTTTTGAAGATAGATTAATACATGAAATAATAAAGAAAAATTAACTGATTTCTAAGGTGGTTATTTTTGAAATGATGAATTTTCTAAAGAGATTAAGGTTGTATGTTTGTTTAAATTTTACTTTTGGGTGTCTTTTATCTGAGGTGTATTTTTATCATCAATTTACAGTGATTGAGATAAAGCTAACCTTTAGTAATGTTTAGCAATTTTCCTTGTCATTTAGATAAACTAGTTCATATTATCTCTTCTATGCCCATTTTTGTCATAAACTTGTTCATATTCTTTCTTCCATATCCATTTTTCTCCTACAATTAAAAAAAATATCTAGAGAGCTAATGAAAGAAACTTTTTTCTCAAAGTTCAATTTTGGTATCTGAACTTTTTCTTTTTTGTTCTCTAAAGCTTTTAGTTTACACATGTGAATATAGTCTGATGGTTTTATTCTACATTATAGTAAGTTACTAAGTAACGAAGAAAAATAAAATAATTTCTTCGCTATAATGATATATGATCTATTGATTACTACTTTTTGTATATAAAGAATAACAATTTCTTACCTTATTACTATGTAGGATTTTTACTAAAAGTTAATTTTTCATATAATAAGCATTTAAAGTATAATAAGACATTGTTATGGATCTTTCACACATTGGATTTTATTATTAATGTGTAATATTAGTGCAGAGTGTAAATTTGTAGCTGCTTTTGTGTAAATATTCCAAATGTTCTTTATAGAAGGATCACTCATATTTCCTGAAATATTGACTACACCTTCCTCTGTAGGAGACTTCTGATATGGGACATGTGCAAAGATGTTAGAACACTGCTTATATTTGCTATCTTTCCAAAGTTCCCTGTAGAGCTTTTCAGGCTGATAGTGATGTTATTGCTTCTTGCCCAGGAATAAAATATTTGCAAGACTCCCATAGGCAATGAGGTGTAATTGCTAGTTGTATGTATCCAGTCAAACCCTGAAGACATTTTTCTACTTCTTTTGAACTCAGACTTTATTTTTTCTATTTCTTTTATTTAAAATCCCTCTTTCTTTCTTTCTCTTTCTTTCTTTCATATATATATAGAGAGGGGGGGGAGAAACAGAGCACATAATGATTACATTTAGTAGGAAAGTGTTGGGATTTTTTGTTATCTGTTCCTGTCTTCCTTCTTTTAGTCTTTCTATCACTCATATGGTGTCACCTATAAATTTATTTTTTGTACATGTTTGTAGTAATAATGATCATGCTCCTTGTGGGCTTGGTACATGTATACAACAAATCAGTTGTGATGTTGAGAGGTGGTTTCTTGACAGATTCAGTGGTAACTGCGTGAAGATTGTGTTGATTATGATGATTATCAGTGGGTCTTTGTTGTCTTGTTGTTCCTTTTCTTTTCTAGTAAATAAAATTGATAAAGAGGAAAGAACAAACATTAACTTAACAAGAGCAGTTTTGATATTAAAGAACTTAGGCACTGCTGAAAGTATCTCTATACTGAGCATTCCATGTGTCAAATTCAAACCTGTTGGGGACACCAGGCCCCATAATTTTGTATGCATGTTCTTCCCATTGAAATGAATGACCAGAGTATAACCACTGAAGGGTGCATTTAGTGTTTAATGAAATACGTATGTGTAAACATGACCACCAATTATAGTTCTTACTCAAAAGAAAGATCTACCTAAAGTTTTGAAAGAAATTATACCATGGCTGTAGTTGTCTTAATTTGCATCACTCAGGCTGATAAGGGAATGGGGGAATATCTTGTGTGCAATTGAAAATGGTAGCTTTAAGTAACACTTACCTCTTCTTATCTTTTTAGCAAATTATTCTATCCTTCTCAGATGCTGTCATAATTCTTGGATCTGTATTGATTTATTTGTTCATGTATTTATTTATTCTCCAAGATCAGAAAATACCTTATGGGACAGCCTCTCTTAGAGCAAGGAAATTGGAAATTTAAGGAAGATAATCTAGCAAAACTTAATGAAACTTACTTCAAATTATATAATCTGCCCCTTCATATGTAGTATTTAAATAAAAGACAGTGCAAAAAGCAGTACCCAGCATATCTTGAATGCATCATAAATATGTAACGGCTGGTAGAGGACTTGGGTGGGGAGGAAAGAAGGGAGAGGATACAATATGAGAAAAGGAAAAAATGGAAACAAAGTCTTTTTAAATAGGGAGGGGTGGAGGAGTTGAAGGGAGGGCAGGGGAACGAGGAAAAAACAAGAACCAAGATACATCATGTGAAGGCACAAGTGCCTAATGATAAATGTAAATGTACTGAATACCTAACATGAAACAATAAAATAATTTGAGGAAAAAATAAATAAAATAAACTTGCAAATATTGTTATAGAAACATCGACAAAATAATAGTATTGTTTACTTCTTTTTTTTTTTTTTTTTTTTTTTTTTTTTTTTTTTTTTTTTTTGGTACTGAGGATTGAAATTGTGTCCTTGCGCTTGCAAGGCAGACCACCGAACCGCTAAGCTAAATTCCTGGCTTGTTTACTCCCATTTTATAGAGAAGGACATGTAAGCTGCACGATGTCGTGTAACTGGGCCAAGAGTGCACGATAGTGGTCCTGAATGTGTGGTGGATACAAACATATTTCTGAATGTTGAAAGGGAATCCACCTTACACCACATCTCCATTGCTTTGCATATAACTATTACTTCCAATATCTGCCATAATAAATACGAATATTTTCAGACTATGCCAGTGCAGAGCAGTTATATTACTCTTCTAATGATTTAACTGTTGGCTTAAAAACCGATAATTTAATAAACAATTTTGTCATCCCTATGGCCACCAACTTTTAAAAATGGTGTGTTCTGTGTTCTTCTAAGTTCTGAGTAGTTCTTTGTGTAGGATTTTGCTTCCAGTTAGTCCTGATTACTACTAACAGAAAGAACATTTCTCATGAACATAATCAATACTGAAATTTAAATTGAGTGTTGGTGATATACACATCTGTACAATAGAATTAGACACACTTGGAAGAAAATAAAAATGAGATGTAAAGATAAAGCTTTAGTGCCACTTGTATTAAAATTAAACTAAAGGGAACTTACTGGCAAAAAAATATTCAAAGCATTAGAAATATAGAGAAACTGACAATTGGAAGTGAATATTTGAAATAAACTGCAGATTTACATTTTTAGAAGAACATTTTCTCTATTTCCTTTATATAAATTGCTCACCTATAGATATATCTAGTATAGATAATCATGTTGAAATTGTGAAAATATCTGTCAATTGTCCTAACTTTGACGCACCCGTACACCAAGAGGAAAGCAATGTAAAATCAATGTTGCCTTAGAAAACTCAATATGACTGACTGTCATATCTAAGGATGTGTTACATGGTAACTGGAAGTTAGGTTACATTATTATAAAATAGAATATTTTATTGCAGGACAAAGGACATGCCCAACTCTTCCTTTAAGTAAGAAAGAAAGAAAGAAAGAAAGAAAGAAAGAGCCTAATGATAAATGTAAATGTACTGAATACCTACCATGTAACAATAAAGTAGCATATGTTAATAATATAGGTTTAACAATGATTAGAAACTCAATCAGTATATAAATATAGGTATGTGTAGTATCCAACCACCAACTTTTGATTCTCTAGAAGTTTTTTTATCAACTCTCATTTTATCTTAAATGTGTATAAGAATGCCAGAACAATAAAATATATTTGAAAATAATTTATATGCTTTGCAAACTAATACTGCAGCCAACTAATGGTAATTCTCCAAAATGCAAAAATATTATGAGAATATAAAACCATATGCCAAGAATGGGGTGAAAGGGAAGAAACAGAAAGAAAAGAAAAGTAAAAAGGATTAAATTACACACACACACACACACACACACACACATAATCCCCATGATGAATGTATTCATTATGGATCTCAAAGATGTACTAGAGAAAGTAAAAGAAAAAAATAAGAGATCATGTATGAGTTCCTTACTGTCCTCAAAATATTCGACCAGAGATGAACATGACTTAAGTCTAACACAGCTGTGTCAAGAACTGCCAGTGGCTATCGTGTGCCCTTATATGAAAATCAAGTCTAGTGTATTACTGAGTGCCTTTAAATACAAAGTAACAAGCAGATCACTAGGAGTTGACAGGCAGAAGCAAAATTTGAGAAATTCAAAGATAGTAGTTGATAGAAATTAGAAGTAATCTCCCATTATGAAGTTGGTATCAAGAAATAATTACTTTTGAACAATTAGAAGAGACATATTTTCTAACTTCCCATAATGACTATCTAAAAGAAGGAAAAAATAGTATGAAATGAAGTGATATTCCAGAAACACCATTGATGAAATTTTTTTCCTATGTTCCATGTTTTTTCTCTAAGGTATCAGTTTCATTAACCAATTCAAAACGAGCACATTTGTTGCCTTTAGATA